ACTTTTTTATGAATTAAAACTGTGACTCCATGGAGCAGTGTATAACATGCACCAGAGAACTGCATGCTACAGGCACTGCTGGTGATGTTCGGACTGTTATAGCATTCATCCCATTCAATCCCTGTTAACCTTAATAGGGTTTACATGAGACGGTGTCTTAATTAATAACCATTGCATTGTTTTGTTGAATAAGTGTTAGGATATGATCCAGTATGATGCCAAAATATCGTAGTACCTAATCTTGAGTCCCCCTGTTGACGGAGTAATTCGTAACTGGAAGATCGGATCAGATCTGAAAGTTTTTGGTTTGCTGAGGACAAGGTGACCTCATGGAAAGTATTAATTGCAACATCAACTTAGGCAGATATGTTAACACCATTCAGTTAGTGGTTTCTGCTATACTGTCTGTTACAGATCTCAAGAAGGAAAGGTCTGTCAAGTAATGGAACATCTCAACAAACACTGCAAACTGGTAGATCTTTCTTTTCACTCCAGTATACAACTAGTTTTCGAGTCCTTTAGGAGGTCATTTTTACACACCAGAACCAAACCAAAGGCAGGTCACTACTATAGCCCAGCTACAGCACAGCAAGACCACAAACTGTCTCAGTCAAAAACGGCTGAGATGGCTTTGCTCAGCTAAAATCAGTGTTTTGCACCCTGCTGTTAGTTTGAACTCTAAATGTCAAATGGATCATTCTTGACAAAGTTTTCAACAAATTATTCAACTGTAGCGGGTTTAAAATATTTTGTAGAGCGCTGCATCTTCAAGAGTATTGTGGGTCAAAATGTCAAAATTTAAGAAATATACATTGGTATCAGGTGCAAAATACATTTAATTGATTTTTTTTTTCTAAATTGAACACAAGGTCTGAATTTTTAAATTAGAATGCCGCAGCATCACTTTGTCAGACTGCTAGTGTTTATCTACAGAGAGTGTAAATCTAGTAGAAGTGATTTGAATGAATGGATTTGTGGATTTTATCAAAGTTTTCATGGCACCATCCCACAGAGGAAGGATCCAGACTTTTTTTAAACGAGGTGGCAACAATTTCTAGGCCTAAATGATTATTATTGTTGTTATTATTATTATTATTATTATTATTATTATTATTATTATTATTATTATTATTATTATTATTATACAGATTTGCAAAAGAATATCCAGTGGTAGGTGTGTGGGGGAACAAGATTTCTGGGAGGGGGTTTTCTTGTGCGCTTATTTTCTTCCCAATGCATCACTGATCCCATTATATGATATCAGATAAAATAAAATGATATTGTATGATATATAAATGAATAACGATGATCAATTTGCAATTTTGTTTGTTAAAAACTAATTTTCGGCAGCGGCCATTTTGAAATTCAAAATGGAGGCCCTAGAAGTGAATAAAAAACTGGCATCCATTTTTTTCTTAATCAGTGAATTATTTAGATATGTTTAGACATGTTTGCCAAAAAATTGACAAAGTTAAAAAATATGACATATAGGTAGGTCTCGCTGTTTATTGAAGCTCTTTAGACCATTCCAGATCTGTTCATTAACCCAAGGGACATATAATTCCTTGAGATTACCCGGAATCTTACAATACTTCTTGATAATAGCCTTACGCGTTTCCATGCTCAGAGATCTTTCAAATTTGTCATTTACTATTTTGGCAATCTTTTCAGATAGGTCTGGCCCCACATTGTCGTTAGAGCATAAGGATGCACCTATCAGTTCAAGAATGGAGGCTACATCCTCCTCCATCTCTTTCACATTCTCAAATTCATCTCCTCCAAAAATACTGAGGGCATCATCTTCAGAAATGCAATGATTTGAGGTAGGCCTATATGCTGTATTTGCTTCCTGTGAAGCTGGTGTGTCAATTGCTTCATTTAAAGTCAAATGTTTTGGCTTATCTCTAAGCTCGCCCAAAAGTCTATTAGCCTCTGCCATGCTACGCTGCATAGCAGCTAGCACGCTCGCAAGCGATGGGTCATTCGCTGTTGGCGATGACGGCGAGTTTCCTTCTTCGCTCGTCTACGGCGGGAAACCCACCCCTAGGCCTAGTCTCGTAATCACTGTTATCCATTGAGAAAACCGCCCTGTTCTAGAAACTAAAAGCGGTTTATAGTGTCTATATACTTACCTGAATTGATCAGTTTGCGTGTTGTGGAACAAAAACCAAGTCTCTTGTACTACTCCGTAACGACATAGGCTGAAGACGAAATAGAATTAATATAAACCACTCCTAATGTAAATTTTGTATAACTAATTTAATATTTCGATTATTATTGCATCTATATGAATATATGGCTTAATGTTATAATTTAATACTTTAGTCACTTTCGATTTTCTATGTCATTTATATTATTTGTATTATCTAAGTACAGGTAGTCATTCGATGGAGGTACACACCTATTTGGTGACAGTGGTTTAGGCCGATTTTTTGCTTTCCTGGCAGCTAATGACATGGTCTATTATGTACTTGTCAATGTTATGTTTGTTTCATTTTTTCTGATTTGTATTATATTTTGTATATTGTATCATTTTGCCTGAATAAATAATGATAATAATAATAATTAAAATTTTGATTATTATGGAAGATTCAAATTTATAAATATAGGCCTACTTGTTTCCAAATCGCAGCCCAATTTTCACAGGATCTCTGCGAAACTGTTTTGTAGTGAAGTGATCTGAACACACACGAGTGTGGGCTACCTTTTCAGTGATTTCATTCTTTCAACTTTCTAAAAAGAGATGGAGCTTTGGGAAAATATTGCAAGCTTGTGCAGTCTTTAATCAAATTGCTGCACCCCATAACAACACATCGTTTCGGATTTTTTTTTCTTTTTATACAATAGTTTCACTCTACTGTGTAGAAAAAACAACAACGGAGTAGTATCACGTGGTATCGTGACGTAACACTGAAGTATTCTATGACTTTTTCACAAAGTGGCTACCGGAATTTGATTTGCGACAGAAATCTCTACAGAAAATACCATGTTCCAAGATTACTTGCAAGCTTGTGCCGTCTTTAATCAAATTGCTGCACCCCATAACAACACATCGTTTCGGAATTTTTTTTTCTTTTTATACAATAGTTTCACTCTACTGTGTAGAAAACAACAACTGCAACTCGCGCGAAGAAATGTGGTTCCCCTTATAGAGTACCACAGTCGTGTCGTCACAACACCAGGTGGCACCCTGTTGTCAACCAGGCGTTGGTTACTGTTAATTACGCCTGAATGACTTTATAGGCTTTCTAAAATAGGCATTTTAAAACCTATTATTTTACCATTAAAATGTACTAAAAACACAAAAGCTCGCATTATATTTATCGAACACACATTTAATCAACAATTAAAAATTACAAAGAAAAATTAATATATAACATCTTAATAATTAGAAATTGGGATCAATGCTTTGTAAGTGGACACAATGGGTCTGGTTGAACTCATTTTGTGTCGCCGATAGCAACGGAGTAGTATCACGTGGTATCGTGACATAACACTGAAGTACTCTATGACTTTTTCACAAAGTGGCTACCGGAATTTAATGTGCGACAGAAATCTCTACAGAAAATACCATGTTCCAAGGGGAAAAAATAATGCCACCGGCCAGTTATCGGAAAGTGTTATATATCATTTTAGATCAATGCAGATTACATAACATGAATTTATAGGTCATGTCATATATGCACACAATTAATAACAAACAGATCAGAGCATAATATTAAATATTAAATTTTGGCCATAGTACTGTGGGTGCCTCACAAATTGACATATCGCTTATAATACCTGTGAAACAGCTCTGCATAAAGATGGGGTCTCATATTCGTGTAAATTATTTAATCAGCCTAAGATCTGTGGTTCAAGTCAACACTGTGACAATTAACCTTCGGTGCTTTGAACTCACCAGTGCTGCTTTAAGCTTCAAGTAGAAAATGACCTAATGTATGATAATGATAATAAAGATTTGTTTTAAGAAAAAACACGCATACAAATCTATAGTATGTTTTATTTCAGATTACTAAATTGTGTGTTAATAGTAAAATAAAACTACATGCACTTTTGAACATTTTAAAGTCCGGCTTCGGTGGAAAAATAATTGTTGATAATTTGTACTTACCTTTCTAAGACTCAAAAAAAAAAGTGTTTGATAAAAAAAAAACTCAGAATTGGCTAATTTATATACATATTTTTAAACTCTAATCTGGGGGAAGATTGAAAAATTCTGGTATACGCCTATTTTTCCTCAAGTTTTTCAAAATTTAGACATCTGTTGTACGGCATATTATTAATTTCTGCCTATTATTAGATGAATGCAGATTACATAACATGAATTTATAGGTCATGTCATATATGCACACAATTAATAACTAACAGATCAGAGCATAATATTAAATATTAAATTTTGGCCATAGTACTGTGGGTGCCTCACAAATTGACATATCGCTTATAATACCTGTGAAACATTAGCACTGCATAAAGATGGGGTCTCATATTCGTGTAAATTATTTAATCAGCCTAAGATCTGTGGTTCAAGTCAACACTGTGACAATTAACCTTCGGTGCTTTGAACTCACCAGTGCTGCTTTAAGCTTCAAGTAGAAAATGACCTAATGTATGATAATGATAATAAAGATTTGTTTTAAGAAAAAACACGCATACAAATCTATAGTATGTTTTATTTCAGATTACTAAATTGTGTGTTTATAGTAAAATAAAACTACATGCACTTTTGAACATTTTAAAGTCCGGCTGCGGTGGAAAAATAATTGTTGATAATTTGTACTTACCTTTCTAAGACTCAAAAAAAGTGTTTGATAAAAAAAACTCAGAATTGGCTAATTTATATACATATTTTTAAACTCTAATCTGGGGGAAGATTGAAAAATTCTGGTATACGCCTATTTTTACTCAAGTTTTTCAAAATTTAGACATCTGTTGAGATGCATATTATTAATTTCTGCCTATTATTGATTTCTTACATTATATCATTTTATTACTTACAGGTCCTTTCCCACCAACACTGGAACCTATCAACTATTACAACGTGTCTTCTATTGAAATTGGTGTTAAACCCCCTACAAACAGTATTGTGCATTCATTTAACGTGTCCATTCAGCAGCAAAACCAGACCAAGATTACCTATTTGCATGTACTAAACCTCGGCAGCAGTGTGACAAATTTTGTGATTCCTAACCTGGTGTCAGGTGGAGTGTATGAGATAAGTATGGCGTGTATAGGATATAATCAACATTCTACCTCATCATGGAGAAGGATTAAACATACTGCAAGTAAGTAGAGACTATAAATAAAAAAACTGCAATTACAAACGCATTTGAAGTTTCTGTGTAAAATGAACATAATGGTATTGGCATTTGCAGGATGGTGCATTTTTTTTATCAGTTTAAAAAACGAAAAGATTAGAGAAAACAACATAGAAAACTATAGCAGTATATATAATAATCATTACTACAATATGCAGTTTAGTATTGACCTTTATATCAGAATGCTAATATACCTTAATCTATATCCCTGGTATACAAACTTTTGATATGGTGACCCTTATCTCATCATAGCTAACTTGGCGACCCATTATTCGTTTGAATATTGTTTTCTTTAAAATTGTCTCTATGGAAAGCGTATATATAGTTCTAATTGAAGTTATCTTTATCATTATCATTATCGTTATCATTACCATTATCATTACCATCATGATTATGATGATCATCATCATTACCATTATTATCATAATTATTATTATCATCATTATCATCATTGGTATCATTACCACCATTATCAGCATTATTATGTGTCACGTTTTTGTGTTTTGTGTGTGTGTGTTGGAGGGGGGGGGTGCGTGTGTGTGTGTGTTGTGTTCAAAATATCTATAAAATAAAAAACCCCTACACAGATGAAGGTTACATGGAATGTATGAGCCAAGGATGAGGTGATTAAAGTTTTGTGACGATCCGGAGAAGGGTGTGCATATGAAGACCATTCAAAAGAAAACATTCCTACCAGATTTTTCCAAAACTGATCAACTTATCTGAATTAAACTTTTGTAAAATTTTAAGTTACAAGGAAGAAATTGTTAAGTGTTGGTGACGATCCAAATTCGGGTGTAAATTTTAGAGTCACTTAGAGAGCAAAGGTCCTAGATCTAAATATCCAGAATAGTTTGTCATGTATCATTAAAGAACTGTTTAAAGATTGGTGACGATCCTAAGTAGGGTTTGGTCCTCATATCCAAATATGAGGACCATTCAAAGGAAAACGTCCCGGAGAAGATATTTCAAAAACTAATAAACTGATATAAAAGAAACTTTCTTGACATTTTAACCAAGTTGTAAGGAAGCAATTATCCAAGTTGATGACGACCTTAATTCGTGTGTGCAATTTTAGAATGGTCTTCTTTTGTTTTTGAAAACATCCCAACCAGATTTTTCCAAAACTGATCAACTTATCTGAATCAAACTTTTGTAAAATTTTAAGTTACAAGGAAGAAATTGTTAAGTGTTGGTGACGATCCAAATTCGGGTGTAAATTTTAGAGTCACTTAGAGAGCAAAGGTCCCAGATCTAAATATCTTTAAAAAAATTATCAGTGGATCTAAATTACATTTTCCAGAATAGTTTGTCATGTATCATTAAAGAACTGTTTAAAGATTGGTGACGATCCTAAGTAGGGTTTGGTCCTCATATCCAAATATGAGGACCATTCAAAGGAAAACGTCCCGGAGAAGATATTTCAAAAACTAATAAACTGATATAAAAGAAACTTTCTTGACATTTTAACCAAGTTGTAAGGAAGCAATTATCCAAGTTGATGACGACCTTAATTCGTGTGTGCAATTTTAGAATGGTCTTCTTTTGTTTTTTCAACTTGCCTATATAATTTTTGGGTGTTTCAATGCAGCGAGGCACTTATTCGAGAGCAGTGCATATTAAACAAAATACATTGATATATTTAGCATCAATATTGATATATTTAGCATCAATAGTGTGGATTTGTATAGCACCAGTATCCATCAAACAAGATGCGCATGGCGATTGACATGTAGACTAGCAGCTCGATCGTCTATTTTCTAAGGTTATATTTAAAAGTTTTATTTCATTTATCGAAAATAAGGCTGAATTTTTATAAATGAAGGTGGATCTCCATCCACATCATTTCTATGGGACTGAATAAAACTTTATTTTAATATATATATATATATATATTTATATTTTTAATATCGTGTTATGGTAAATCATGTAATTCACATAAAGTACCAGTGAACCAAGCAATACAGGTGTAATTAATTTAACATAACATTAATTTTAAAATTGAATAAAATCATTAGTTTATCATCTCTACCTTCATTACATTGATGTCTTTTATTTAAAAAAAAAAAGACATTTGTTTTTAATTACGATTGATGGTTCTTTTTAAAATATATGGTTTATTAATGCAAGTTATTTCAATTTAGAATTTAAAATTGAAGTGTAATATTTATTCCAGTTAAATTTAAAATTGAAGTTTAATGTTATAATTAACTGGTAGGTCTTTTACTGTACGTAACACATTAGGAATTGCCATTTTTATTAAACAGTCTGATCAGATTTGGCTTGGCCTAGTTCTAGAATGATTTCATTAGTTTCACTTCTAAAATTCAAATCATAACATCAAAAATGGTATAATTTCTTGAACATATAAAAATATTTTAGACATCAGAATTCTAATTTTGAAGTTTTTTAAAAGCTGAAATATTGATAAATATAGGTTTTTGCGTGTGGCAGCTATTTTGAAAACAATGATGGCCGCCAAAATTACCTTTAATGAAATACTCATTTCCATGGTGACCTTTAACCTAGTCGGCAAATACCCTTGTCGTTAAAATTCGCACCATGAATTAATTTATATATGATGATCATATGTTTCAAATATCAGTTTGGTGTCTTTACCCTTAACGTTAAAAAATCGATTTGAAAAGGACTATATTTTTCAATTTGTGACAATATCAGTGTGTAAAATGTGACATAATTAATTTTTTCAATAACGGTATTATTAACAACAATTTGCCTAGAGCCTTGAAACTTATAATTCTAAATCAACTTTTTGTGCTTAATCAACTTTTTGTGCTTATTTCATGCAAGCAGTTTGTTAAGGGATGCACTATTTATTTAGTATGATATTGTGCCCCTAGCCCAAGTGCAAGCATTCCACAATTAAATTGTGTTAATAATAATTTCAAATGACTATAATATATTATCCGTGTACTGTATAGAGCCATGAAACCTTTCATTCTAGGACAACTTTTTGTGTTGATTTCAGTTATGCAGTCTTTCAAAGGGATACATTGTTTAATTAGTAGGATATTTTGCCCCACAAATAGCGCAAGTGCAAGAATTGCACAATAACATTGTGTTACTCTCGAATTCAAATGGGCATAATATTAACAGTGTACTGTCTAGAGCTATGAAACTTCAACTTATAAGAGAACTTTTTGTGCTGATTTAAGTTATGCAGTCTGTTAAATAAATGTATTGTTTAATTAGTAAGATATTTCCCCACAAAATGTGGCCCAAAAGTGTATTATGGTGATATTGATATATTTTAATGAGCATAACATTAAAAGTGTACTCAGAACCATAAAACCTTTTAATCAAGAACAAAATGTGTTGTGTATTTAATGTGTATGGTTATTTAATTCATGCAGTCCGCTAAGGGACACAATCTTTAGTTAGTAAGACATTTTGCACCAAAAAAATGGCCAAAGTGCAAGAATTGCATAGTAACATTGATGAGTATAATATTATCAGTTTACTACGGTCTAGAGCCATGAAACCTTGAATTCTAGGAATTTACCTTTTGTGATTATTTCAGTCATGTAGTCTGGTTAGGAACACATTGTTTAATAAGAAAATAAGTTCCATGTTTAGAGTCAAATTGTATATGAAATTACACAGAAAAAAGAATAAATCCCATCATTAATTTTGATTATTATCCCCTCATCATTATTATCATCATCGTCATTATTATATATTTTTGGGGGCATCCAGGTAAACAAAGTTTACAATGACCTCTGGACCCTTGTAAAACCAGCAACATTCTACCACATTGCGTTTCTCCACTTTTTCACAAAAATAGCTGGATAGCTCTTGAATGTTAGTGCTCTATATTAGGTATGTCTTTATCACCTAGATTTGTACATCGATGTACCTACATGGTCTGTCCAACATCAACTAAATTAGAGTCGAGTGTAATCGCATTACGGTCTACCAATGAAACACAGGATTTATTTAAAACATTTTAACTATTCAAGTGATAATACAATTCATCTAGAGCGTGATAAATAATTTATTATGCTTCAGGCTGAATTTTGTAGGCCTAAGTATTAGTGTAATTAACCTTGTACCAGCAGTATGTTTTTCAAACTCAACGTTATTTGTGTAGGCATAGGAGGCCTACTGTATTTACAAAGATAATTTATAGCATATTGTACCCTACGTATTCATAGAACATGTTTTATTAGTTGCATAATATTGTTTATAGTTTTCAATACCCTGCCACTTTGTGTAAATATAATTACAGTATAATCATTGTTATTCCTTATATA